GTACATGGTGACTGGTGACTATGTTGTGCATTGTGGCTGGTGACTATGTTGTGCATTGTGACTGGTTACTATGTTGTACATTGTGACTGGTGACTATGTTGTGCATTGTGGCTGGTGACTATGTTCTACATTCTGACTGGTGACAATGTTGTACATTGTGACTGGTGACTATGTTGTGCATTGTGACTGGTGACTATGTTCTACATGGTGACTGGTGACTATGTTGTGCATTGTGACTGGTGACAATGTTCTACATTGTGACTGGTGACTATGTTGTGCATTGTGACTGGTGACTATGTTGTGCATTGTGGCTGGTGACTATGTTCTACATTGTGACTGGTGACTATGTTGTGCATTGTGGCTGGTGACTATGTTCTACATTGTGACTGGTGACTATGTTCTACATTGTGACTGGTGACTATGTTGTGCATTGTGGCTGGTGACTATGTTGTGCATTGTGACTGGTTACTATGTTGTACATTGTGACTGGTGACTATGTTGTGCATTGTGGCTGGTGACTATGTTCTACATTGTGACTGGTGACAATGTTCTACATTTTGGCTGGTGATAATGTTGTGCATTGTGACTGGTGACTATGTTGTACATTGTGACTGGTGACTATGTTGTGCATTGTGACTGGTGACTATGTTGTGCATTGTGACTGGTGACTATGTTCTACATTGTGACTGGTGACTATGTTGTGCATTGTGGCTGGTGACTATGTTGTGCATTGTGGCTGGTGACTATGTTCTACATTGTGACTGGTGACTATGTTGTACATTGTGACTGGTGACTATGTTGTGCATTGTGACTGGTGACTATGTTGTGCATTGTGACTGGTGACTATGTTGTACATTGTTACTGGTGACTATGTTGTGCATTGTGACTGGTGACTATGTTGTGCATTGTGACTGGTGACTATGTTGTACATTGTGACTGGAGACTATGTTGTGCATTGTGACTGGTGACTATGTTGTGCATTGTGGCTGGTGACTATGTTCTACATTGTGACTGGTGACTATGCTGTGCATTGTGGCTGGTGACTATGTTCTACATTGTGACTGGTGACTATGTTGTGCATTGTGACTGGTGACTATGTTGTGCATTGTGGCTGGTGAGTATGTTGTGCATTGTGACTGGTGACTATGTTCTACATTGTGACTGGTGACTATGTTGTGCATTGTGGCTGGTGACTATGTTCTACATTGTGACTGGTGACAATGTTCTACATTGTGGCTGGTGACTATGTTGTGCATTGTGACTGGTTACTATGTTGTACATTGTGACTGGTGACTATGTTGTGCATTGTGGCTGGTGACTATGATCTACATGGTGACTGGTGTCTATGTTGTACATTGTGGCTAGTGACTATCTTGTGCATTGTGACTGGTGACTATGTTGTGCATTGTGACTGGGGACAATGTTCTACATTGTGACTGGTGACTATGATCTACATGGTGACTGGTGTCTATGTTGTACATTGTGGCTAGTGACTATCTTGTGCATTGTGACTGGTGACTATGTTCTACATTGTGACTGGTGACTATGTTCTACATTGTGACTGGTGACTATGTTGTGCATTGTGACTGGTGACTATGTTGTGCATTGTGGCTGGTGACTATGTTCTACATTGTGACTGGTGACTATGTTGTACATTGTGACTGGTGACTATGTTGTGCATTGTGACTGGTGACTATGTTGTGCATTGTGACTGGTGACTATGTTGTGCATTGTGGCTGGTGACTATGTTCTACATTGTGACTGGTGACAATTTTCTACATTGTGGCTGGTGACTATGTTGTGCATTGTGACTGGTGAGTATGTTGTACATTGTGGCTGGTGACTATGTTGTGCATTGTGACTGGTGACTATGTTCTACATTGTGACTGGTTACTATGTTGTGGAATGTGGCTGGTGACTATGTTGTGCATTGTGACTGGTTACTATGTTCTACATTGTGACTGGTGACTATTTTCTACTTTGGGAATGGTGACTATTTTGTACATTGTCGCTGGTGACTATGTTGTGCATTGTGGCTGGTGACTATGATCTACATGGTGACTGGTGTCTATGTTGTACATTGTGGCTAGTGTCTATCTTGTGCATTGTGACTGGTGACTATGTTGTGCATTGTGACTGGGGACAATGTTCTACATTGTGACTGGTGACTATGATCTACATGGTGACTGGTGTCTATGTTGTACATTGTGGCTAGTGACTATCTTGTGCATTGTGACTGTTGACTATGTTCTACATTGTGACTGGTGTCTATGTTGTGCATTGTGAATGGTGACTATGTTCTACATTGTGACTGGTGACTATGTTCTACATTGTTACTGGTGAGTATGTTCTACATTGTGACTGGTGACTATGTTCTACATGGTGACTGGTGACTATGTTGTACATTGTCGCTGGTGGCTATGTTGTACATTGTCGCTGGTGACTATGGTGTACGTTCTGACTGGTGACTATGTTCTACATGGTGACTGGTGACTATGTTCTACATTGTGACTGGTGACTATGTTCTACATTGTCACTGGTGACAATGTTCTACATCGGTACTGGTGACTATGTTCTACATGGCGACTGGTGACTATCTTCTTCATTTTGACTGGTGACTATGTTGTACGGTGTGGCTGGTGACTATGTTCCACATTGTGACTGGTGACTATGTTCTACATGATGACTGGTGACTATGTTGTACGGTGTGGCTGGTGACTATGTTCCACATTGTGGCTGGTGACTATGTTCCACATTGTGACTGGGGACTATGTTGTACATGGTGACTGGTGACAATGTTCTACATTGTGACTGGTGACTATGTTCTACATGGTAACTGGTGACTATATTCTACATTGTGACTTGTGACTATGTTCTACATTGTAACTGGTGCCTATGTTCTACATTGTTGCTGGTGACTATGATCTACATGGTGACTGGTGCCTATGTTCTACATTGTGGATGGTGACTATGTTGTACATTGTGACTGGTGACTATGTTCTACATGGTGACTGGTGACTATGTTCTACATTGTCGCTGGTGACTATGATCTACATTGCAATTGTGAGTATGATCTACATTGTGACTTGTGACTATGTTGTACATTGTGACTGGTGACTATGTTGTTCATTGTGGCTGGTGACTATGGTGTATATTCTGACTTGTGACTATGTTGTATATTGTAACTGGTGACTATGTTCTTCATGGTGACTGGGGACTATGTTGTACATTGTGAGTGGTCACTATGTTCAACATTGTGGCTGGTGGCTATGTTGAACATTGTGACTGGTGACTATGTTGTACATTGTGGCTGGTGACTACGTTGTACATTGTGACTGGTGACTCTGTTGTACATTGTGACTGGTGACTATGTTGTACATTGTGGCTGGTGACTATGTTGTACATTATGGCTGGAGGATTGTTCTTGTGTGGTAGATATCTGACGTTGGCTCGTTTCCATGAGTCGTGTGTGTGTGTGTGGTGACTGTTGTATATATAGATGTACGTAATGTAGTACAATGTCTATGATACAATGTGTTGTGTTTATACATATATATATATACATCGTGTAATCAAACGTGTAGATCGCTGTAATGGTTATACATATACATGTATGTACTTGACGCAATGTTGGGTTCTTGGCGAGACAATACTACACGGCTCCGACCTCTCCAAGAAGAGACGCTACGTCTCGTCAAGTTCCTAACCGTCGCATGGTTAATAATACGTCCTTGTCATACTCACACATGAAAGACAAGTTGGATTCCCCGGGAAGCTGAACTCTGGTCGTGCGTCGCACTTGAGAATAGGACACACTGATTGCATTGCCTTGAATTAGCGAATCTATTTTGACACAGTTTCGGAAAAAACTCTCATACAGGTTAGTTATAATGACAAAGACGCTTGTGCAGAGTGAGATATGTATTTATATAACCGCTCGTACAAGACAATATCGGGAAAAGCGATGTAACATAATAATGTCTATTTAAGCTGCGCTTGTTTCCACACACATGTGCATGCTCAAAGTTCTAGCACATTACTACCCCGGATAAACCAAGCTGCCTTTGAGCCGCAAGAAGGTTACGAGTCATATCACCTATCCCATTGGGTACCCACTCACTGCTAGGTGAGCAGAGGCAATTCATGAACACATTCACTCTTGCCTAGGGTGAGACCAATGTGTCACGCGGGCTTCGTTGTGGGACAGGACTGAAGTCCTAGAAAACCTCAGGTGTCGAGCTGCCAAACACGGTCACCCATCCAAGGACTGTCCGCGAACCACGTTGCTTCAATTCTGATTTGTGACCTAGGCTCTGTGCACGGGATAAAACACGCCTCCATATCTAGATATTATTAAGACCTATATACATGTACCTAGTTATAACCTTTAGGCCAGCCAGTACATGTCCACTCTTCTATGTACGGACGTGTATATTGTTATCGGTGTATAAGCATGCATATCCGATTTGTTCGTTTGGAGACTCGAGACATCAAAATGAGCATCCGTTGCCATGTTAGGTGCAAAGGCACATCTTAATGCACAGACGGGTCACAAAAACACGCACAGGCACGTGGCACGTGAATTGTTCACCTATAGAAAACATACGGCACAAGTAAAGGTACACATATTGCATGGGCCATCATTTTTGTCACTAATTCACGGAATCACTAACTGGTCAGCAGTAATAACTTTATACGCCGTTAATGTAATATCATGTATCTATGTATTTATTCTGATGTGACATTTGTGTAGGTGACAAACCAACAATAACAAAGACTTTAAGACTCTGGTCGGTCACTAACGTGCAGTGGTGGTATGTAATTGTCCATTGAAATGTTTCACAAACAAGGTTACAATATACATCATTAACAATTATACTTTTGCTGACCTTTTTATGTAAGATGTTATTTAAGCGTGCAATATTGTGTATGTCAAATGGTCTTTGTGTGCAGTATTGTGTGGACGTATATTAACAATAATGTTTTATTTGCAGGTCTTATGTCTGTGACGACAGGATCCGATTACATCGTTGCACGTGTTGGCCATAACGCCACCATCTCCCTCAACACGTCCCAGGCTGGACACGAGTTTAAAGTCGGCGTGCAAGTTAATAATGATATAGAATATCTCTTTCTTAAAACTGACACTGAGCATGACATGGTGAACACCAGCCATACATGGTACAGAGACAGAGAGATACCAGTGAACATCACCCCATCAGAGTTCAGGTTTACACTGTATAATGTCACTACAGAGGACGCAGGGCTCTACGAATGTCGGACGTTTGACACAACCAAAGGGATACCTGGCTGTGAACAGCTTCTCGTTGTGGCACGTGAGTGAGAATCGGATACGGTATCCGTATAATATGTAAATTCCACTTTAACGAATCACTGAATACCTACTAATGGGTCCAGCTTGATAAAGAGACAGCCCATTGTGATGTATGTCTCAAATGTTACCTCATTTGTGAAACGCACAGGGTATATGTTTGACAAACGTATATACGTTATTGGAGCGAACCCGCGGACTTTAACGTGGCCAAGGCACACCCTGAACAGTGCATAGCGCCACATCACGATTTGCCCAATTGTTTATCACACTTAGATAGCGTTTTAAAATAGCATGAATATACGTTATCTGTAACCCATACATGTAGAACCTGGATACGAATAATTAGACGGAAAATAGTGTGCTTTAGACGGGAGTTCTTTTTGTATAAAAACAGTTACTGCCTATAATATCTGTTCCAAACAGCTAAAGAGATTATTATATCTGGGTTTGAACTGGTCTTGACACATGTCATTGTATTCGATGATCATTGTGTTGGTCACAACACCTTGTCAGTGGATGCCGTTGCTTGGCACAAACAGCACATCTTGAACGACATAATAGCATGGCTCGTTGCGTCTGCTATCGCCTTCGCCATGCCTGTGGCTTTGACTCCGAATTCCATCCATGGTACGACCCTGAACATATCCAGGGCGCCATGGAAAATTATGCTTTTAAACGTCTCTGGAATATGCCTTTTCTGTCCCCTTTGGCAGCAATGTGGTTGGCAAGATTCAGTAAAAGCATGCTAAATATGCATACTTCGCCTTTGAAATGTCTCGCTTGCGTCCCAAGTACACTGTCGTCAGGCTTCCCATTGTTCTCGGTGCCCTTGGTTTGGTACCTCCTGATCACTTGGCGCAGATTAGGAAAGTGCCCGGGTTCTCCACAGCCCTTCTGACACTCTGGGTAATGCAGAAGGCTGCATATTCTCTGGAAAGTTCTTGGTGGGTTCGACTAGGCAGTGTTTCCTGGGAGAAGTCCCATTTGCTGTCTGGGCTGTCTGAGCTGATGATGAGCCTTACCAGCCTGACTGTGCCAGGATCTCTGCTGCATTTTCATCCTTTAATCTATAAAACATAATTAGCCTATTGTCTGTCCACACAGACAACATGTTCATATGGTCAACCCAAGCTGTTTGTAAGGGGCTATAAGATTATAGTGATATGACTTTTTTCACCGCGTACCCATTTATTCTGGGTGGACAGAGGCATTTTGTTAGCAAACTCACTTGCCTAAGGTGAAACCACATGTGCTTCGTTGTGGGGCAGGACTGAAAGTCCTAGAAACACTCATGTGTCAAACTGCCAAACGAGGTCACCCATCCAATAACTCTCCGTGCCCAACGTTGCTTGACTGATTTGTGACCTGTAATATGTACCACCTGTTGATACGTTTTTGACACGTTGCCAGTTAAAACATAAAATATATATCAGAACGAATACACATCACACTCACCTGCGATCACCAGTCCAAACAACAACGCATATATTCCAACGAAACAGTATATGTTCATGATTGCGTCCTGTCGCCCACGAGAGTTCTACGCGAGAATCACGTTAGCAGATTACCACACAATGTAATTGTAAAATTTGTTAAAGCAATTCCTCTGTGAACCTCTTATCAGGCAGGTAACGCTACAAGGAAAGACCATAAATAGATTGCAACACACACATATATCGATGTGACCTACAACACACAGACAAAGCACACGCGCCTATAACGAAATAATATTGTTTGGAGGGTCAGCATCATCAAGCCAGTGTTATATCTATTTGTTGGACTATTTTGTTTCTTGAGAGATTGTTCTTCGTTGGCTTTCATTGCCAAACAGTATAACTGATAACAGGGGTTTATAACAAAAGAGGAAGGACAGGGTGATCTAAAATCATTGTCATTGTGACGTTTCATGTTTCATGTCAGTGCACATAATCCAGGAAACTAAGTGAGTTAAAATTTAAGCCATAATCGGCATTGTGACGTATCATGTCAATGCACATTTAAGTCACATCGGCAGTATTCCAGCCACATCATGACTATATCATGTTATATATTAATAATAATTACAGGTAAAGTATAAGAACTTGTCGACGAAGGACAGTAAAACAACTAGACTATGACAGATATTCATTTTAAAACTAGTGATTAAATTCAAAACATTTTAACCATACTTGACAAGACAATATAAAAAAACGGCTATAGATTGCCAGTAACTGAAAACAGATCACCAAACCAGGGACAATGGCCAGGAAATTGAGCGAAGTTTGTTTTGTGAGAGATTTTATAATAAATTCACATTAACATTATGTGATCAGGAAGTTAGCACTAATATTTGAAAAAAAATTATGTCTGATACAGGGTTTCATTATAGCAAAACGCAGTCGCTTATTGACTGGTTCCACTGGTTTGGGCAATGTTCCAACAGTATCACATGTCTGAACACCAGGACATGTATTTATACGTTATGGAGAAGTGAACTCAGGTCCTGTTCGAGCCCAATTCTTCCTATTTGGTACTCTTCGCCATTGATACATAATTGCCATAACATCGCCAGTGCACTCAAACAGACCATACAAAATGTATTTATTTTTGTCGGATTCTTATCATTATGAAGTGATAACGTAAAACACAATTTCAGATTATCATCTTGAACAAACAAACAAACAAAAATGTTGAATTCTCTCAGTAGATAAAAATTGATAAGTGCAGAGCCTCCTCGGGAGGTTCTATGAAGGCAGCAAGCCACGTGACCATCGAGGGCTCTCTGACGTCATCAATATGAGGCTGCATGATTAAAAAATGCAGAATAACTCATTAATATGCAAATATATGCATGACGTCACAGGTCAACAAGGTGAGGTATGATCAATAATTCCTCTCTGACGAAACCTCTAGGCGGGCCGTCTTTCAAATAGTACAAGTTCGGTTCGTCGTCTTTGATGTCCACTTTATCTATGCTGTAAGTTTTGACAGACCATGTCGGATCGGTGGCTCGTTTCCGAGTGTCTCCTTCGTGTTCTCCCAGCTGATAGAGGTACCTCATGAGAACACAGTCAGGTATTTGTTTCCCTTTATGCGATGATGCAGCCGCTTCAGCGCTCACTGATTTCAATTTAATAGCGTCGGCCGGTTTTTTATCGGTGAGACGAGTGGTTTCGTGATTGATAGCCGATACAACTTGAGGTAGCCGCGCGACCCATTCGGTGTTGGGTTTATTTAGACTTATTTCCTGCGCATACTGATGCCCGAATAAGCGCTCAGCCAAAGTCCTGTTGAATCTCTCGACGAAGACTTGGCTGTGATGAGCCCCGGCCGTGCCATGCCTGACTTGGACGTCATGTTTGGTTAGCAGTTGTGACACGGCACCCATGAACTCCCGTCCAGGATGGACTTGCAGCTCTGTTGGCCATGTCAGTGGACTGCGCTTGTATATGCGCTTGAATGCGTGGGGCTACTTGTGCCGAATCTTTCGCCGTTATTGGTTCAGCTTCTTTGTAGCGGCTTACCACGTCAACGATGGTTAGGGCATACTTGTATGGTTTACGCCCCACCCTGTCGTGGGGCAGAAACAGGAGGTCGGCTTCGTGAACACTATCGGGCGTCGACACAGCGAACTTTCTTCTAGGCACGTAGTGTGGTGCCGGTAGGTAGATTTGCCACAGGGCTTGTTTTCCCAACCACACTTTGGCTTCGTTTTGGGATACTCTTGCTATTTCGGCAAGCTTGTGTATGGCGCTCGCTCCTTTCCAATACCCACGCGGGCTGCAAAAAATGGCCTCAAACTTTTTGCAGAAATGGCCTGTCCCTCAAACTTTTTCTGGTGCCGTGACATTGTATATATATGATTATTTTTTAGTTCAATTCTTCGTGTCCGTACGCGTACGTATTGATTCCGTTGATGGCTATCCAACGTTTCATGTCCATTGGCGACAGGGACGTTTTGTTCATCGTCAGTCCATATATCATGTGTCCGTTGCTTCTCAGCGTATTCATTTGATGCCTGAATGTGAGAGTCTTGAACAGGGCTTCCTTGAATCTGGCGTGTTTGATGTGTTGTTTCACCAGGTATTTCTTGACCCCCTTCGCCTTTCGGATGTCGCCGTTGTCGGCTTTCAGAATGGAATACATCTTGGGTCTCAAGCTGATGTATTCCACAATTGGTGTGCCGGCACATTCATCCTTCATTTTACCGAGCACTTTTTTGTTGACTTGGCTGTGAATGGGGTGGCCCTTGGGGTAGTCGCTGGTGTCGTACAGGTGCATTTGTTTTTTCATGTCCTCGTACACGTCATTGGTTCGAATTTCCATCAGCAGGGAATCCGTGTCCGTGTACAGCACTTCACACCTATCGCCGTACTGTTTCTTCAGTTTGTTGTAGTAAAAGTCGTACATCAGGTGTTTGGATAAAGTGAGGATGCTCATCCCCACGTAAACATGCCGGTTAAATTTGATGTGGCTTTTTCTCATGTGAAGTGCCACCAGATCATCGCTGAATATTTTGCTCCGGATGAATGCTGGGCTGGCTATCAGTTTCCTTCCTCTTTTGATCGGACTATCTTCACGGTCAAGCATTTTCTCAAGTTCTCCATCATCTTACCGAACACCGAGTTGTTCATGAGCTTGTATAAGTTTTTCTCAAAGTCACTGTTAGCCCGCTTTCGCAAGTCCGTGTTCATTCTAATGTAGGGCTCCATCCAGGGACTTTGGTCGAACTTGAGCATCCTATGAATTTTCGTGAGTTTCATGACCAGCGACAGGTACAGCTGCAGGTTGCGATAGTGAACGATGTACTTCGTTTTGTTCATCAAGTTGGGTACGAGTTTTTCAACGTTAGCCGGCTTATTGTCCCCAGCAAGTCCCGTTTGTAGTCGGAAATCCAGTCCGGGTTCACCGTCAATCGTTCGGGAGACAGGGAATAGCTGTTGGGTGATTTGTGTAATGCTGCTGGATACTCCAAGTCCACTTCGAGTATGTAACCTTTTTCAGAATCTGGCAGTATGCTCATGACGTCGACCGTCTCGGATGTCCACTCGACTCCACCGGTGGGTAGAAACTGGCTCATGGCCCAGCCGTACAGGTTGTAGAGGATATGGGTGATGGGTAGATTCAGATTATAGCCCTTCACGTACTCGTTGTTGGCTTTCGCGTACCATTTGGAGGCCATGGAAATCCCACCTCACAAGCCTTTTTCGATGAACAGGTGCATGTCGTAATCGGTGAGGAGTTCTAGACTCGGGTTTTCTTCAGCAGCGCATCCCACGAGAGACCGAGGCTGGTGTAGAACCATGCGGGATCGAGTTATACTTCTTAAAACACGTTTTTCTGAACGTCTAGAACACGTCGGCCAGCAGCAGCACGTCTGTTTTCAAGTACAGGTCGTGGTAATCACCCAGATTCTTGCAGCCCAGTTTATTCCATACGTTAATAGAGTGCGAGTAATCATCATGGGTGATGGTTGAGTCGGTCAAGTTGCTGTAAAATCGGTTGATGGGGGACAGTCGTCTCTCATTGAACTTGGACCAGCTGTCCATGTACTCGTACAGGTACACGCCCTTCCTCATCAGCAGGGGTCGAGTCTTGGCGTCGGTGTACCGATTGGTGATGTGGAAGTCGTTCGGGTCGTTGGCCTTGCAGACAGCAGGAATTGAACGCTGTCGATGAATCTAAGGCCGTTTAACGAGAAGGAAATGTATCTTTCCATGTTGTTGGGGATGCACGTCAGGTTGCCGTCGACCTTCGCGATGGCCTGCCTGATCAAGTGAGAGTCGTACCCTCTCAAGATTTGAAACACGACGGGGATTTGGATGGTTTTGGGGTTGATTTTGAGTTTGAGGTTGCACACATTGTGGGCTGCGCCTCTGTACTCACCGGTGATGTGACAATGATCTCTCACTGAATCATCATTCAGCGGTTCGATGCACACATGGCAGTGATTGCTGCAATCGTGACCTCGCTGGTCGGCTTGGGTCATACACATGGGAGCGGTTGTATACAGCCTTTTCCTGTTGGTTTTCTCTTCATGTTGCAAACACATGAGAAACTTTTCAGCCGCGTCAGAACCTCTGTGTTTTTTTCTCTTTGTGTTTCGATTGGTCGTACAACAGCCTGCTGAAGTGTTTTATCCACGCGTAGTGGCACTTATCACCTTGCTGGATCATGAATATATTGATCGTCATACGGCCCTCAGTCATCGGGCTGATCCTGTGCACAATCGTTTTGTTGCCTTCATGCCCAAAGACGTTGATGGCTATGTGGCCATTCTGTTTTTTAAATTTGGTGACCTGAGATATGGGGGTGGGTTCGTCTATGCCGTCCCAGTTGAGTCCGTCGTCCTCGGGATAGCTGGAAAGTCTGTCCGAATGTGCGTTGGCTGGAAGCAATGCGGATCTGATTGCTACCCTCATTCAATTGTGGCCTCTGTTTTTAACGCTGACCATGGCTTGTTTTTCCTTGAAGTAGGGGGGGCAACTCAAGGTACGATTCGCCTTTGAGAGACATGTAGTTAGCTATGTCTAGATAGACTTTATCGATTCTGTCCACGACCCACCCAGAACCCCTGTGAGTGTAGCGTTCCAGGCATTCTCATATATGTTGAAGCAAGGTGTCGATGGACGCGTCTATT